CAGCCGCCGGGTGGCGCTCCCTCCCCGCCCATTGTGGGGGCTGGCCCAGGCCCCAGCTGCACTCCCCCGAACATTCCTTCATGCCCCCCCAAAGGGGTGCATCCCATAGATCAGGGACCTCTGTAATAGTGACTGAACTGAATTAGCTGAATAAACTGAAATGAAGAAAATATTCTCCCTGCACCTGCAAAAGAGGCTACTGTTGTCAAAAGCTGGTTTAGCACTTCAGCAAACTCTGGAGGCAGTAAAGCACCATTTTTAGTATAAAGTCTATATTTACTTGCTAATCAACATGTTTTGGTTACCAAGCAATGAGAATCTTTCTTTACCAAAATAACTGAAAAGTACAAAACCATTGATTTCAATGCTTCCTGATACCTATCATGATTAAAAGGGGTGATTTAAATTGCAGCGATAGAAATCAGTCCACCCTGGATGAATGCAGCTGAAAAAAGCTAGCGAGACAGAAGTACTGTCAAATCTAAATAGGGTTAACTGGAGCCACTACTAAAAATATCTTAATTATAAAAAATTTGCAGAATAAAATGCAAATCTTGGAAAAAAGCGACATTTCCAAGTAATGACAGTAGGCATGACAGCCACTCATGGCTATGTATCAATATACTTTTTATTATTGTATTATAAAATATTCGGAGGAATGTATGTTTGAATTTATGTGTACCCTATTCTTTTAAAAAGAGAACCTGTGTAGGCTCTACAATTGGACTGAAAGCAATGCATTTCATGTATTTTATTGATAGAAATAAAATCACTTGACACAATAAGCAGAGGAACTGGGTACCGTTAATTACTCCTAAATATCTGAAGTTATTTGATCAACACAAAAACAGATCAATTCAGAGAGCTGAAAAAATGGTCTGTAATATGAACTGAGGACACTGAAAACTTTTATCAAAAAATAAGGGAAAAGTTTAAAAAAAAAAATCATAACCCTTTTCAGTGAAGCCTTCTTTGAAATACTGGTATGTAACCTTTCCAGTTTTCTGAGCTGGGGTAGTGATTGAGGTTATAAATTTGCAACTTAGTACGTTAAAACTAGTGGTGACTGGCCAGTGCAGGTACTTGTTATGGCAGGGATCCAGATAGTGGATAAAAATGGCTTGGAAAAAGATTTGAAAGCCAGCATTCCTTAAGGGAGCTGAGGAAGGGGTGTTTGAGGCGCCGATGTCTGGTATGGGGGAGCTGACTGCACTGGACATCCACCACCAGTTTTAAGTACTAAATCGCAACATTATAAGTTATAACCTAAATCCCTGTCCCAGTCCATTGGGTCCCAGACCTGTGGTGGGGAAGGCCAAAAAAGAAAAGAAAAAAGAAACCACCAACCCCTCCCCACCTGGCCTGCCAAGGTGGTGGTGAGGGAAAATATATTTCTTTTATATCCCTTTATATGAGGGGAGGGTGATAGCAAGGGACTGGCTGGGAGAAGGTTGGCGATTATGTGGAACTGATTAAGGAATGAAGATGAGGTGCACTGTACAATTTATTGCTGGGTACCTTCAGATATTTGTAGGTGACTAAAGTTGTGGCCTAATTAAAACAAATTAATTGCCTCCTATCTTCTGGAGTGGCCCAACAAGTGCCTGGCTCACTTCAGTTCCCAAAGCCTCTTTCATGTGTTCGGCATAAAACGAAAAACTAGGACTGGTGTTCCTGTCAAAGGCAGGCACCAGGAAAAACACTTAGCGCAATAAAAACTTGGAGACAAATGTAATGAAGCTAGACTATGGTCTGACCTTCTTAGGTACTGAGCTTGTAGCCATCCCCACGTCCTCCCTCTAAGCCCCACATTTTGCCCCATCTTAAAATTAATGCCACCTTGAAGCTGGGGGATGACCCGGACAAGGGTAAATGTACTGCTTTGGCAACTTTGCCTGTGTGAGGACTTGGTTGGCCAGAAGGTGGTACTGATGCACAACTTGACAAGTTTCTCCCTTGCCTGAGCTAAATTAACTGTTCAGGCTCCGCTTAGCTGGGATCTCTGACTTGGGTTTCACTATTATCGTTCCTCAGCAGTGAAGAGCTCTGAGTGCAGCCGTCATCCTGCTTTTCCAGCTTGAACACGGTCAAACAAGCCTGTTAAGATTTCACATGCACATGCATTATCTTGGCATCTGGCTAGGTCAAGGCTATAAACACAGACAGCTTCCTAAGATTTCTTCTAGATTGGGAATGGGGGTGGGGTAAGCAAGTGATGTTTCCAGCAAAACTGGATCTTTCCACTTCAGAGACGCAGCACACATACCCAAAGATGTTAAATAAAATTTGCAACAAACATACTCTTTCAGAAGGGACAATATTAGTTTTACCAACATGGAGTGACCTGAAATTATTGACCCATAAAATTGAACTAGCAAACCATAAAAAACAAAAAACATCTTGAAATGTACAGAAATGCTGTGATGTGGAGGCTGACTGCAATTATCTAATATCACTGTGGATACAGACTTGCAAAACCTACCTAACCATTCTTTCAGCTGTGTGTGTATCTACAATTTAAAAAAAGTCTTCCGGTGAGCAACCACCAATTACAGCCTTTCCCCTGTCCTGAATCTTCAGCCAGCAATAAACCTTGCCAGTCAGAAATTAAACTCCTATTTCCTTTTACAGGGAACCTGAAAGCGATAACGTCAGTCACACAACTCCAATTTGATTTTTCAATCAAAAGAACACCATTCCTGCTCTTAAGCTGGCTGTGTCAGAAGGGCCTTTTACGCACTGGTGTTCCTGTCAAAGGCAGGCACCAGGAAAACCACTTAGCGCAATAAAAACTTGGAGACAAATGAAATGAAGCTAGACTATGGTCTGACCTTCTTAATAGCTGGCTGTTTATGAACGACAACAAGCCAGAGCTTAAAGCACCGAAATGTAATTACATCATTTATAAGGCTCTGATGTGTTTCCACTGAGCAGATAAACAGCCAATGGCCCAGCTTCAAAGACGCAGAAAGCCTCTCCTAATTGTGAAATTGCTGTTTCCGATGCACAGTGTAACCAGCCGAATGGCTCCTCGACATAAAGGGGATGAGTGAGGGGCCTAGTTTTTCGTTTTATGCCGAACACATGAAAGAGGGTTTGGGAACTGAAGCGAGCCAGGCATCATGCCTGCCCCACAGAATGGGGGTTATTCAGCTTTATGGGCAAATCTTTCTCTAGACACCTGTTGAGCAATTACTTGAACAACGGTTGTAAGGACTTTGAACAACAGTTCCTGCATTAGGGACAGGTTGCGGTCCATGCAGGGGAGGAAGGTGGGATGTAAGGCCTGCCCCCAAACTTCCCTATACTTGACCCCTGCATTGTGTGTTGAGCCCCTATTCCAGCCTCCCCCGGCACAACCACAGACAGTATGGTGGCCACTGGCCAGTGCAGTTATATCAACATGCTCCGGGAAGCAAGCTGTGCTAGGCATAGAGCTGGGGCCGATTGTGCCCCCTCTTGCCCCCCCAGCCTCCAAAGCAAAGGAGGAAGAGCAAACCAGATTGTAAAATCTTTTATGAGGGAACACCCCTGTCCAACCCTATATTTATTAACAGGTTTTTCCCAGCAATGGTCAGATTATTAATTTTCCTCGTGTGCCTGTGATAAAGGCCTCCTTGCCCTCACTGGCAAGTCGAGCCTAAATTCAGCAGCACACGTCGGCGTGCCTGCCTCACTGCCCTTCTCCACCAGCCCTGATTCTGGCAGCCTGTCATGGCAGACACCCGACTCATTGATAGTTCTGCGGCAACTTCAGGTCGATACAAGAAGAGAGGCTTGCATTGCGTTCAGCGTGCCCTGAATAGTACAGTCAATTCAGCGTTTCTTGGGCTATTGATTTGGATATTTAATTCAATGAAATTGTAATTTCAGAATGTTTCTCCATCATTTCTCCTGCCGCCAACCTGTTCAGATTTCAATGCACGATGGCAATGAGCCACCGCTGCTTTAGAGAAGCTGTCAAGGGAAAAGTGGGCGCTGTAGGCACTCAGAAAAAAGCAGGGGGCTGAGTTTTTGTAGCAACAGGGAGATGATGCATCCTTCCCTCTCCCTTGTGGGCAGGAATGGAGATGATCTGAAATGGGGGGGGGAGGGGTTGAACATTTCACTTCTTCC